TAAAAATAGCTCTGTCTGTACACGCGACTGCTCCGCTGCCGTCTGCGGTGAGTAAGTTACACCCCGAGTAAAGTGTGTGCAAACCCGAGTGCTCTGCGCGGCCCTGGGGCAGGGGAGCAGCCCCCGGCTCTCTTTCTCCTCCAGCCGGGAGCTCCGGGATGGAAACGGGATTTCAGCCCTGGAAAGGCGGCTGGATCCCCGGGATGGATCCCCGGGCTGGATCCCCGGGATGGATCCCCGGGATGGATCCCCGGGATGTCCCCGGAGCCGGGCTGGGTCACAGGGCTGGGACCCCGGCAGGCTCCTCCCGGCGCTGCGGTGCCGTGGCTCGCTGGTGCCCTCTGCAGTTGTCCCTTCTCGCTGGAAATGCACAGGATTCCTAATCCCAAGGAACGATTTTAGGACTTTTTGCTCCAGGTGAGGGCGGTGGCCAGTGTGCGTGTTCCCAGGTTTGGAGGAGCATCCCGAGTTCCTCCAGCACCCCAAATCCTGCCCGATGGGATCCCCCGGAGCTGGCCCCGTCCCCTCCTCGGTGGCTCCCTGGCTGTTCCTCTGTCACCTCAGTGTCCCCAGAGGCCGATGGCAGCAAAGCCCCTGCCCAGCCCGGTCCGTGGGGCAGCAGCGGCGGGGAGGGACAGGGATCCCCAGCCCGGTTAAACTGGGAACGCTGGGAATTGCAGCAGCTCCCGGGAGTCACCTCCCAGTGCCGCAGCAACGCTCCACTGCCCGAGGAACCGGGAACATCCCTGCTTCCAGGGGCCTGGCTTTGGGGTCTGGCCCATTTCCCCAAATTGTTGCTCCAGAGAAGAACTTTTAACCTTTTGTGCCCCAGCACAAAGGACCCCAGGGCACTGCAGGAACCAGGAGAGTCACCCTAGGGTCACCCGAGCGTCCCATTCCCTGTCCCCTGAGCTTTTGTCAGAGCTGGGGGTGCAGTTTGGGTGGTGGCACTGAGCCGTGCAGGGGCACACGGAGCCCCCCCAGGACAGGAGCTGCTATCTCCTGGCCCCAGGACCCACAGAAGCTCCGTGCTGGCAGAGATATCTGCACTCTGAAAAGAAAATACCAACCCCCTGCTGGAGGGCAAAAAAAGGAGAGCAAATTGCAGGAAAGAAGCCAGCAGATAATGGCAGCTCAGGCTCCTGGAGCATTTGGTCCATCCTGCAGGAATGACCTGCCTGGGCCCCTTCCCAGCCATGGGGTGGGACACAGGATGTGTCCCCTGTGCTGGCACACAAGGCACATCTGTCCATGGGCTACAAAGCAGTTTGCCATTTAACTGAAATGTAATTGAAGCTGGGTAACTGGAGTTGAGAAGTGTTTTTTCACACCTGCACGAACCTGTGGAAAAAAGGAGATTGTTCTCCTCTCCCTTTAATTAATTTCTTCAGCTGATTTGGCACTTGAAGGGAGGGGCTCTGCAGTGCCATGGAGCAGTTCAGTGGTTTGCCGAGGAGAACATTCCCTGTTTACAATGCTGAGCCCATTCCATGCTTCCATGGTGGTTATGAAGCAAAGCTTCCAGAATCAGAAGTGTGTGACACTAACAGGGAAAAAAGCACGAGGATTTGGCAGGAATTGTGCCCCAGTAAAAATCTCCTTGTTCTAGTCCAGTCCCTCAGCTCCAAATTCTTTTGAATTAATTTCAGCTTTAATGTTTATCAACACTGAAATGTTGAATGAAATTAAATTCTGTAATAGAAATCTAAACTTGATCCTTAAGAAAAAACCAAAACAAATTCAGGACCCAGAAAGCAACACTTCAGTACAAGAATCTGTTTTATTTTTACAGTGCAGTGATTGAAACAATGTAAAAATTCAACTTGCAAAACTGAATTTGTATCACAACGTCTCTCAGAAGGCAATGCAGATGTGTTGCTTTGAATCACAAAATATTCCTCTGGACACCAAAAATTACAAACTCCCAGCAGTATACACCGGGCTTCCTTTAGAGACTGATTCCTCATAATTTAAATCTATCTTATAAACAATTTCTCTTTAAAAAAACCACATGGAAGATAAAAACAACTCAAGTATAAAGCCCGAGGCGTTGCTGGTTTGAGCAGCTGGGGCTGCAGCGGGGCTGTGTCCCTAGTCGGGCTCGGTGACGCACTGCTCCACGATCTCGCGCAGGTTCGGGTTCTCCATGGCTGCTGCCACCCTCTCCTTGTCATTGATCTGCTTGTTGACTGCAAAACACAGCACGGGGCTCAGGGGGCTCAGCAGGAAAGGGCATTTTGAGGGGCATTGCTGGGAAATGGGGGACCAGGCAGAGGCAAGAGCAGTCACCACAAAGCAGCCATGGGAAACCACAATTCCTGTCACTTTTCCAGCTCAGAAATAGGCTGTGAGGTGTTCCAGTGGCGTGTCCCAAACCCAAGAGTGAAATTCAGGGTAAATGAGTGGGCCAGGTTCAGTGTGCAGCTCTTTAACCACAATACCCCATTTCTGGCAGGCACTGAATGCTCTGGGCACTGCTGAGACAGGGCCTGGCTCTGGCTGGACAGAACACCCAGGTAGGTCCTGCCAGCTTTCCTGCAAAACCTGCCTGAGAAACCTCCAGATTTGGTGTGGGGAGTTCAGGACAGTGGGGCCAAGAGCTGAGGTAGCTCCTCATGTCAGTTACTCAATTTTTGTTACAAATACCCACCAGAGCTGGGGGGTTTTGTTATAAATCCAAAGCAGCAGCCAGCAGGTGGTCACAGAGCCACCACAGCCCTGGGGACACCGCGATGCCACTGCATTTGCAGGCTCTGACAGGGGGTTGGTTCCTGGGGAGGCAGGGCAGCACAGGACAGGGCTCAAATGATCATTGAAGCAGCAGCATGCACAGGCTCTACTCACTGTCCTCCTCCGTGGAATGTGTGCCCTCAGAAATGTAGATTTCCAGCTGCAAGAGAGATCAGCAGGGTTAGGGGCAGCACAGCAGTGGGACACTTTCCTCCTGGCAGGAAAACCCCGTCCCCACTCACACAGCTGTCACCCTGCTGCCAGGAGCTCCCTTTGCAGGGCTCAGCTGGGAGCAGCTACAAAACCAGAACCACCACCCAAAAATCAACTGCAGCCATCCTCAGGTAATTACTGTGTTCTTTACATTATTGGGGTCAAGTGTCTAAAGGTCTGTGTTTAATTTAGGGAGGCTGCCATTCATTGATGGAATTTAACACAGGCTTCAAACCAGGCACTTTACCTTGTGTCTAAAAGGCAAACATCTCTGAAGTTTTATTCTTAAACAAAGGCCTGTTCAAAGAGAACACAAAAGAGATTTTCCTGTAAAAGTGAAGGTTTGAGGAGCATTTTCAGAGAATCCATGTTTAACAACCAGTGTAACTGACAGTGTCCTTTTGTACTTTGAGCAGCACAAGCCACAGAGGGAAAGGAGACAAGCAGAAAGTTGTCTTTCTTTTTCTTTTTGAAAGTTTAAGAGTTGACAAACTCAATTTATAACATTACTGAAGTAACTTGGAGAATACACAGAAGGAATCCTGTATCATTTCCCAGCAGAGTTTTGGGAGGAATGTCTCTTTGAAGAGATTCCCTAACATGACACAAACACATGGGAGTCCCCATTTCTCTGGATTTGGGGGTTTTTTGCTCGGTTTGGTTTTTGGTTTGGTTGCACTGGTGTTGGGTTCTTAAGCTGCAATTCCTGATCAAACCAACACAGGAAGGCAAGACTGAATCTGCACTGGGACTGGTGGCATCCAGACAGCCCCCAAGGACCCCTTTGTCTTTGTTTGTGATCTAATTAATGGATCTCACCGATGAGAGTGGCCAAGGAGCAATGAGGTACTGTTGGTGTAAACCTGATGATGACCAGATATTCATCCTCCCCTATCTCCTGCACTTCCACGCAGTTTTCCGTCACCACTTCCAGTTCTTCCAAAGTGTTTGGCTTCTCCGGGTCCCGGATAGTCCGGATTATATCTGAGACAAGGGGCACAATAAGGAATCTTCCCTGGGATTCACACAAGGGATTTCCACGAGCACCCCTTCAAGCACTGCTGATGTTGCACTCTTTGGAAGCCACAAGCGATCCCAACGAGCCAAGCGGCCCCTGTCTCCCTGCCCAGCCCCTCGGGGCCCCCTCAGCGCTCCGAGCCCCTCAGGACCCGCGCGTTCCCCCTCAGCCTCCCAAGGGCAAACCGGCACCGCACCCGGGGCTCTCCCCGCGGCCCCCGCGCCCCCCGGCAGTCACCGTAGACCTCCATGGCCCTGTCGTGCTCCATGGCGCGGCTCGGGGGCGCATGGCGGGCGCTACTGGCGGGGCTCCGCCACACCCGGCCCAGCGCCTGCCACAGCAGCGCCAGCGCCAGCGCCATGGCCGCGCTCCGCCATCGGCCCGCGGGCCGCCGCGCTTCCGCCTGGGCGGGGCCGCGCCGGCCAATGGCAGTCGGGGGCGGGGCCGGGGCCGGCCAATGGGCGGTGAGGTACCGGGAACAACGCCCATGGGGGCGTGGCCTCGCGTCCGGGGTGGGGCCATGGAGAGGGGACACAGAGGGATCCCGGAACACGGAGAGAGCCCGGGACAGCGAGTGGGGACACGGAGGGACCCCGGGACACGGAGAGGGGACCTAGGACACAGAGTGGGGACACAAAGGGACCCTCCCGCGACACGGAGTGACCCCGGGGCAGCTCCGGGACACAGAGTGGGGACACAAAAGAACCCCTCGGGACACAGAGAGACAGCTCCGGGACATAGAGGGACCCCCGAGACAGCCGCTGCTGCAGAGTGGGGACACAGAAATGCCATGGGGAGCCATCTGCAGCAGAGATCAGAGAAAATACACAGGGAATTCTACTTAAAAATTAAGAAAACTCTGCTGAAGTTGCGGGCTGAGGGAACTACAGCTCCCAGCGCGCATTGCTGCTCCGCGATGCCTGCTGGGGGCTGTAGTCGGGCCCGGCGCTGCCCAGCTGACCGGAACGAGGGGCGGCCCCGCGGGGGTGGCGGCGGCTCGGGCTGGGCGCGTCGGGCGGCGCTGAGGCCGGGCCGGAGGATGGCGGCGGCCGGGGCCCCGGCGGAGCTGCGAGTGCTGCTGGTGCCCCGCTCGGAGCAGCCGCGGGGCGCGGCGCGGGTGCGGCTGAGCAGGGCCCGGCACGCCCTGGGCACCGTGCTGCTGGCCGGCGGCATCCGCCTGGAGTCACTGGGGCCCGGCGGGGCCGGGCAGCGGGGCAGCGTGCTGCCGGGAGCCTGGGCTGAGTGAGTACCGGGAGCCTGGGCTCAGTGAGTGCGGGCCGGGGCTGCGGGACCGCAACGGGAGCGCTCCCGGAGCCGCGGCGGGGCCGGGTGGTTTCTGTCTGTCCGTCCTGCCGGGTCGTGTGTGTCTGTCTGGCCGGGTGGTGTCTGTCCGCCCGGCCGGGTGTGCTCGCGGCAGCTGATCCCGGAGCAAACAAGAAGGGTCGGTCTGTCTGTCTGTCTGTCTGTCGGGCTGTCCCTTCACGCCCCAGTGTCCCGAGTGCTGCGCCTCCCCCGCAGCCCAGGGCCAGCCCGGGTGACACTCGGCGGTCACATGGTGGCTTTAACACAGGGTGGCTTTAACGCGTGGTGGCTCCAGCATCTGCTTGGGCAGCTTCCGTGCCGAGCCAAAAGCACGCCTTAGTTCTGAGCATCTGCAGTGTCCGGCAGCAGCAGCCGGACGTCCTGTGTCACACAGAATCCCCAGCTGTTTTGGCTGTGAGGGACATTAAATCCCACCCAGTGCCACCCCGGCCATGGCAGGGACACTGCCGCTGTGCCAGGCTGCTCCCGGCCCCGGTGCCCAGCCTGGCCTGGCACATTCCGGGGCTGGGCAGTGTGTCAGTGCTGTCCCAGGCTCTGCTCTCTGGTTTGCCCTGCCCCGTGCTGAGCCACTCGCTCTCTGTCCCCTCCCCATCACCACGGAGCAGGTGTGACACACCTGGCGGGGTTCTTGGCCCCAAAACCCAATGGGAAATGGAATGGACAGTGTGTTCTGCTCTCCTTGTGCTGGTGCTCTCCTGAGGCAGAGCAGCCCTGGTGTCCTGGGTGGCTTGGAGTGAAAAATGGAGAGTATGGAACCCCTTTATCCTGGAGAGGAGGAAGAGGAAGAGGAGCTGGGCTTCCTCAGGCTCTGTCCTGCCAGGGATGAAGCAGCTCAGTGCTGGGGGTCCAGGGTGGCAGCAGGGGTTTCAATGGTGAAGTGAAGGTGGTGTTCCCAGTCAGTGCACACACAGAATGGTCAGCCTGGGAAATGGGGACAGGGAATAAAGCCATAACCTCCCTGAATGTTTCACCTTCAGCTTCCTGTGGGACAGCTCAGAAGATGATTGTTCCCAGTCCAACAAGACAAAGCTGCTGGCTCTTGCTCAAAGCCATGACCTGTTTGTCTATGAGTTCAACGTAGAAGATGGAAAACACAACCCCAATTCCCTGCACAGTTGTGAGGCAGAGACGCTGAAAAAGCTCCTTGAAGATAAAAATATCAGTGAGTAAATTGCAATGTGTGGCATGTGTGAAATACTGCAGCTCTGGTTCTGCTGCTCCTGGTGGGATGGAGCACCAGGGAATTTCAGTTACCTCCCCACTGCTCCAATGGGATCAGCAGGATTCACGGGCTTTAAAAATAATGGGGACGTTTCTGTGTTCAAAGGTGACATTGCCAGAAGGAATTAAACTCTTGGAGGGTCGTGTTTGAGTGATACAAAGTTAAAAATTAATTTTAATAAGATATATGCGACCCTGCTCTCTCAAATTTTAACTTTAATATTGGGACTGATGGGAAGTAAAGGGAGATAAGGCTCGTCAATAACCCTGCAAAGACTAATTAAACATTTAACGTTGTATTTTATGATTAGCAAACATAATGTGCAGTTAGAATGAGCCTTTGGTATTTTACATGTTCCTAAACAGTCTCCCTTCCTGAAATATTGTATTTCCAAAGTTTCTAGCTTTTCTTCTCAGTGCTGACTGAAATCCTATTTTGTGCTGATTTTTTATGTTCTTCATAGTACTGTCCGCTGAAAAAGCCACATAAAAAGTTTTGGGAAATGGTTCTAGAATTAGTGCCCCTGGCACAGAAAGTGAGATTTAAAACAAACCATCCCAACTTCTGTTAGGATGGGAACTGGGGCAATGAATTTGAGCTGTCATTTCCATGAGATTCCTTTACAAATCAAAAGTCTAGCTGGCTGTAATCCAAAATTTAAATATCTTTAAATTTCCAGGTTTGCCTTCAATTTCTTCTGTGAAGATTCTGTCTTTTGGAAACAACAAGTGCAAACTTCTGCTCAACCAGTTTCTCCTGGTGCACCTGGCCTTTCCTGGGGAGGGCTCAGCCCCAGAGCCCTGTGGCTGCTTCCCCCTGGCCCTGCCTGCAGGAGCTGTGGGGAGGATTGCAGACTCCCACTTCTGCAGGGGGATCCTGTTCCTGTTGGACAGTGCTGGCTGGATTTGTATCCTTTGCAGGAGAGATCAGGGAAAATCATCTGGAAGAGCAAAGCTGCTTTTCTCTGCTGTCAGGGCTGAGCAGAAATTTCTTTACAGGCATTTAAGTGGTGCCTGCAGAGAAGGTTGTGCAGCCAAATCCTGGTTGTTGTAGAGAAGTGCCACAGCTGTGTGTGCAGGGTTTCCCGCTGCAGAGCTGGGTTTATGGGTTTCATTGAGGCTTTGATTCATGGGTCTGTGTATAGCAGGCTGACCTCTGCTGTCGCCTGATGGCTGAGTTAAACCAGAAATGACCTGCAGGCTCCCAGGGAGCCTGGTGCTGGGATGAGCAGGGGCTCAGGCCTGTCAGCTCCACCAGCTGCTGGCATTAACCTGTCCCTGCTCATCTCCTCTGGCCCATTAGAGCACAGGGAAGCCAGCTTGCCTTTCCCTGCTCCTGGAGCCCAAATTCAGCACCTTGCCCTGCTGTGTCACTGCTCTGTCGTTCCCTCCAGGCCTGGGCTTTTCCTTGATGCTGCTTGCAGACGTGTTTGACTGCTGTGATGGTGCCAGCCTGGGGAAGGTGGGTGTAGCCCTGGGGGCTGGGCAGGGGCAGGGCCCAGCCCCTGTGTCCCCCCTGGCTGCCCTGGCGGTGTCCCCTGACCTCAGCACGGCCGTGGTGACCAACAGCTGCCACTGGGCCCTGGCTGTGCAGCTCAACACCTACTTCAGGTACAGCTTTGGGCTCTGGGCTCCCTGAGCCTCCCAGCTCCTCTATTCTGGGCTTGTCCTCACTGGGATGCTGGCAGCTTTTCACTCTGACTTCTGTGCCAGAGCAGAAATTCCCTCTTTGTTTAAATATTGTCCTTGCATAGCTTGCTCTAATTTATTCTCTGTCACAAAGGAAACTGTGTCTATAACATCTCTTTGTTTTAATCTGTCTGTTAATGAGAGATAAACAGTCTTGCCCGTCATGTTGTTTCCTGGAAGATGAGGTGCTCTCAGTGCCAGGGGTATTTAGAAATGCTGTGGGGAATGGAATTATGAAACTGTGCTGGTACAGCTGTACTTGATGAATTAGGGCCAGGTGGTAATTAAGATGTGGTATCCACCTCAAAGGAAGGAGCATCAGGTTTTGATGGCTCACCTGTTACCCTGAGAGAAAACTGCACCCAGAGCTCCTTGGAGGAGTTAAACATGAAAAAAAACATCTTAAATCATCTGAGCAAGGTGAAATTTCATATTTATTTCTTTACAGACAGTTCCCTGAACATTTGTTCTGTAAGAGAGATCCTGAAAATCTGCCAGTGAAGCCTGCAGAGGGGCTGGACGAGGATGAGCTGGCCAGTTCTGAGCACAGCATGGAGCTCCTGCCGCTGCCCTTCCGCACAGACAGGTACAGGGGGACGAGCTCCTGCCACAGGCTGGCCTTTGCCTCCTTTGCATCACTGAGAACAAACTGCTGGGCTGTGTTTTCTCTTGTAGTTGGGACAGGTAAAATCAGCCATTCTGCTGTCAATGTTTTGATTTGGGGTGGACCAAGAGAGCTTTAGGTGTGGCATTGGACAGCTTCCAAATAGGGATTGTTGCTTGGGGGTTACCTGTGAGTCTTAGAGCATTGGTACTAATAATGCATGTCACTTATAACTTGGTGTGTAGATGAGAAAGGTTCGGTTCTGGAGTTAATTGTGTTAGATGGTTGTGTAATTAATAACTATTTGTTACCAATTAAAAATAGTAGAACATTTATATATAACTATCTATAACTATAATCTATATATAACTCTCTATAACTGCCTGTTCTGCTATTTTTTACTTGGCATTTTTTGTGAGGAAAAGAAAACTTTTCACTAGAAATGCTGGACATGGACGTTGTCAGCTGATCCAGCTGTGGTCACTCAGCTTGGCTGCAGGTGGTATTTAAATACAAATAAAGAGGCTATGGTAAGGTTAAAATGCAGGATGCTGGATGGATTTTATGAGCTCTAAGTGCATTTTATCTAACTGAGAAAGCTTTACCTGCCCTGTTCCTGGGGCAATACCTGGTGTTAAGGTGACTCTGTCCCCTTGGCAGGTCCTGGAAGGCACACCTGTCCTCACTGTGGGACAGAGTCAGGAGGAGAAGAACACCAGGCTCTCCACATTTGGTGAACAACCTGAATTTGCCTTGGTATCAGTTTTTTACCCATCTGGAAGATCACGATCCTGAAGTTTGTGAGGATCCAGAGAGGATGGTGGCCTTTGTCCCCCGGGCTGTCACTTGGGCGGCTTCCCCAGCACTCCAAGGGCAGCCTGGGGCTGCAGGACAGCAGTGGGCACAAATCCCCGTGGGAGCAGCGCAGGACATGGTGGGACTGGAGTGCAAGCTGGTGACTGGAGCCAAGGCTGTGTTTGTGGGGCAGGCACAGGACACGGGGCTGTCTGTGGCGCTCTGGGATTTCGAGTCCCAGGGCGTGACGTGTTCCCACTTTGGCAGGAGCAGTGCCTATGTGGAGTGCAGTGCAGAGCTGCCCCTGTGTCTGCTGCTGACAGGTGAGGGCCCACAAACTGTCCTGAGAGCTGCTTTGGGGGTTTTAGTGTTTTACCTGGCTGCTGGTGGGTGACTTCCATCGTGTTCCTGCCTGGGGAAATCCAAAGGGAGCTGCTGCAGCCTTGCCTTGCTCTCTGGAAGCAGCAGTGGATAGAAATGCTGCTGCCAGAAAGGGGCTGCTGTGCCTTTCATAATGCCTTGGTTGTGTCCTTCAGAGCGTGGTCTGTCCCTGGTGCTGTTTGGGGTCACTCAGGAGGAGTTCCTGACCAGGCTGATGATGTTTGGCAGTGCTGGGGTCGTGGATTCCCTGTGCCACCTCAATGGCTGGGAGAGGTGCTCCATTCCCATCCATGCCCTCGAGGTGAGGAAAGCTGCCTGTTGTTTGCAAGCTGTCCTGCAAATAACAAACCCTGCATTCCAAGCATTGAATGCAGTTTAGCAATGCCAGTGTGGGTTTAGACACAATTAAAAGTGTGCCTCAAACCTAGGGGCAAAAGAAAGTGGTTTAGTTATTGAATAAACAGCAAAACCCCAAGCAGATGAGTAACCCAAAGGAAGAAGTACAGCAGCAAAGTGAATGCACATTAATAAAATAAAAGAGAACAGAGCAGTGCTCAAAATTCCCTCTTAATTGGACTCAAAAGCAATTTTGCCAGTTTCTGCAGCAGTTTTTGTCCCCTTGCAAAATGTTAAATATGAAAAGAAATCCTTGGATCTAGATTTCTGTGTTTATTGTGCTGCTCTTACAAAATTGCTGTAAGCTTATTCAGCATCCTGATTCTCATAGTATGTACTTCATATTGCTGCAATGACATTTTGTGTGTGGAGATCAGGGCAGGGCTGGAGCAGAGGCACTGTGCAGGTCCCCTGGTTACTGCAGGCTGCACACAGAGCTTAAATCCCCTCTGGTTTCTGTGTCACTGAGGCTGGAGTAAGTGCATGGTGTATGGGTGTAAATGCATGCTTAATTGTTGTGTTTGTGATTGTCCAGGCAGGTTTGGAGAATCGCCAGCTGGACACGGTGGACTTGTTTTTGAAAAGCAAAGAAAGTGTTTTCAGTCTGTCTGCAGCCTGCCCTGGGGCTGCTGCCTCCCAGTCCTACCTGAGAAGTGAGTGAGGAACCTCAGCTGCTCAGGGTTCATTTCGTCCCTCTCCCCATGGCTCAGTGCTGATGTGTGGGCTGTTTGTGGAACCATTGCAGGTCTGGAGGAGCTCAGCCCAGCTCTGGACTTGCTGTGCTCAGCAATCCAGGACAATGATATGGAGCCCCACAGCAAACCCTTCTCTGAGCAGCTCCTGAACCTCGCCCTGGCTTTCCTCACCAAGCAGCTGGAGGAAATCTTTGTGCACACAGAGGGTAAGAGCACTCCTGCTGCCTCACAGCTAGTCGTGTGTCATTGTTTAAGTAAGAACTGCTAATTCTTTAAATTAAAAGCTTACCTGGGTTTAACATAAAGATACTAGAATTGAGTGAAAGATGTTCATTGCTCTGTTTTAGATTGGCCTTACCTGACTAATAATTGGTGGGGTTAATACAAAATTTCAGTTCTGCTTTACTGGTCCCTGGGCAGGAAAACCCCTCAGTGAGGGCAGGGAGCTCTGTGGGGCTGTGTCCTGTGTCCTGACAGGGTGCTGGGCTGTCACTGCCTGCACAGGGGACAGAGTTATGTGCTGTTCCCTCTGAGGGGTGTCTGTTTATTAATCATAATCAGCACATTTGTTAATTCAGCATTGCTAAACATTAAAATCCTGCCTGTTCATTCCCAGTTAACTGAGGTCTTGGTTGCTTTTGGCAGAGCCTGATGAGTTCCTGCAGAAGGCTGCAGATATTTTAACTGATTACATCATTAAGCTGAGGAAGTTCCTGAGGAGATACCCTCACCCAGCAGTGACCCCAGGGCACGGACCTGAGCTGGATGAGGACCTGCCTGAGATAGAAGAGAGCCAAAAATGGGAAAAACTGACTCCAGAGGTGAAAACCAGCAACCCAGTTCTTGCTGCTGTGATGAAGTTTATATAAGGAGATCATTTATGTGGAAATATCTTAAAGTACTGGGAAAGAAAATCAGCACAGGGCTGATGTAGTTTGTTCCATGTTTTTCCCTTTAGGAAGTCATTGCTGAGGCCATCCTAAGCAACAAAATACCCGAGGCCCAGATCTTCTTCAGAAGGCAGAAACACCCTGCTGAGAGTCTGCAGGAGTTTCTGCAGACAGGCTTGAGCCTGGTCTATGACTGCCTGCTGAGGGGCAGCACCAGGGAGGCCTCAGAGCTGCTGAGGAACATGGTGAGAGGTGTTTGGGGTGCTTGGGACTGAGCAGGGCACGGGGAGCCTCGGGTTGGTTCCCCAGAAACGGGGGGGATTGCAGTGGGAACGGCTGGTTTGGGGGAGCCTGGCTGGGGCTGTGTGCTGGCTGAGCAGCAGAGAAAGGGCGGCTCTGGAGAGGGGTGACAGGGTTTGGGGACAGCGGGGACATCCCTGGGTTTGGGGACAGCAGGGTTTGGGGGCAGCAGGGACATCCCTGGGTTTGGGGACAGCGGGGACATCCCTGGGATGGAGACAGCGGGGACATCCCTGGGTTTGGGGACAGCAGGGACATCCCTGGAATGGGGACACAGGGTTTGGGGACAGCAGGGACATCCCTGGGTTTGGGGACAGCAGGGACGTCCCTGGGATGGGGACAGCAGGGACGTCCCTGGGTTTGGGGACAGCAGGGACATCCCTGGGTTTGGGGACAGCAGGGACATCCCTGGGTTTGGGGACAGCGGGGACATCCCTGGGATGGGGACAGCAGGGACATCCCTGGGTTTGGGGACAGCAGGGTTTGGGGACAGCAGGNTGGGATGGGGACAGCGGGGACATCCCTGGAATGGGGACAGCAGGGTCTGGGGACAGCAGGGACGTCCCTGGGTTTGGGGACAGCAGGGACATCCCTGGGATGGGGACACAGGGTTTGGGGACAGCGGGGACATCCCTGGGTTTGGGGACAGCAGGGACATCCCTGGGATGGGGACAGCAGGGACGTCCCTGGGATGGGGACAGCAGGGTTTGGGGACAGCGGGGACATCCCTGGGTCTGGGGACAGCAGGGACGTCCCTGCAGGAGCCGGTGCAGGGCTGGCACAAGCCTGCTGTCAGGGCTGTGTGCTCTGGGGAAAGCCGCTGTGTTCATCGTTCTGTGCTGATGTGAGCAGTGCACTGTGTGGGCCCCTGTGACAGTGATGTCCCTCTGTGGCAGGGCTTGGACGTGAAGCAGGAGCTGCACAAGATCTGCTTGCACACCCAGGACAGGCACGTCAGGGAGCTCCTGGTGAGTGCAGCAAGGGCTGCCTGGCTCCAGCCCTGCAGCCCTGCCCGCCTTTGAGCTGAGGGAAGCTCTGGGAAATAGAAAATTACAGAAAATCTTCAAAGTTTCATAGAAGGCTCACGTGGTGTGTGTTTGTATGTGAACTTTGAGATAAGAAATGCTGATTAGAAACATTATGGAACAGGACAGACATTGTTGAGAGAGAAATGGAGCTAAAAACAAGTTTCAAAGGATAGTCTTATTTATAAGACTAGATGTTTTAGAGAAATGGAGCTATGAAAGATGTATTGCAGTAGGATTTACAAGGGGTAATTTTAGATTATTTACTTTAAGGTATTTACAGTATACTGCGGTAAAAGCTGATAGGCCAAGAAACACTTCTAGTGTAATTAGGAAATAGTTGGCTTCTGATTGTGATGGTGTGAGTTATAACATGTGTATTGTCTCATCCTTCACATGAGACTGAAAATGGACTAAAAGTTATTAAACACCTCTCAGCTGCCCCATCTCTGGGTCAGAAAAAAGCTTAATCTGACGAGAAACCCCTGACTGCACTGACGTTCAGAGCAGAGACAGCCAGGGCTTGCACTGCACCCTCCTGATGGCATTCCTGCAGCATCCCTGTCCCTCTGCACCTGCAGTTAAACCACAGAGCTGCTGCAGTGTCATTCCTTGCTCTGATCCGCTTCTCTCACGCAGTCTGAGTCCTCTTGTCACTTAAGTGCATTCCCCTCTGCTTCCAGAATTGTTTCCCTACAGCTGGTTAATTGTTTGCACTTGCAGGATCATTTACAGCTTGAGTAGATTAAAGATAGATAAAAATTGAGGGCAATTGGAGGCAATATTTTAACAGGTGGAGGTAACGCTTTAATTTGAATTAAAGGTGAAAGTCTTACAAGAAGAAAATTACTTTTCTGAAAAAGAGAAGAAAATGATTGACTTTGTGCATCAGGTTGAAAGCTTCTACTCAGAATCCTTCCAGGAAAACAAAGAGACTCAGGCTCTTTCCAGGTAATGTGGGTTATTAATTTTAATTATTAATTAATAGCATTAATGGGTTTTAAAATGTGCTGGATTGTACATTCTGTGAGATTTACTGCACTAACAAATTTAATTTCATTAATTTCACGCTGGCGTTCATTTGCAGAGATCAGAGTCAGTGTGGGGACTGAGTCATTTTCTCGTTTTTGTGGCAGTTGCTGTCATGTTCTCTCGTGACACACTGCTGTGTGAGTCATGACAAACTATCGTGGGGGTGACAGAGCTCTCCTGCTTCAAAGGAAGCATTTTTAATAATAATATTAGAATTACCACTCAATTATTCGTGTTCAGATGTTTGCTCTGGTTTTGATCTATGATGTCTTTAATACAGCAAGCCAAATAACCTAGAAAATAATGTTACAGCTAAATGAAGGTAAAGCTGTTATGATACTGATAATTTGTTGGGAAAACAGGCAGTTCTTTCCTTCTGAAGCCCCCAGCCCCTGA